GAACAGATAATGAATAAATAAATTTGATCATTTTAACCACTCCAAAAGGTGATGACAGATCAAAAAAACAACCATTGAAATATAAATATATTCATTCCTCCATTCAAAATTAATTAATATATTCTTTGATTCACTGGTAATCTAAAATAAGTGATAACCAGCAAAAAATACGTTTGCTTGATTTCAGTCATAACTAAGTATTTCATTATAATTTGGAATAAACAAAAACTTCTCGTAAACTTCTAAGCCTGTGACTTTTAAGATATACAAATGTTAAGGAACACTTAAGTAAGATTCACATAAAGTTTGAATTTATGTGTAAGAACTTAAATTGTTACAAAGTTTACCTAAATAGGAATCCATTAATCAAAATTATCTTTCCTATAGATGATAAAATTTGTTGAACTGTGTTGTTATAGCATTATTAATACACTTCATAAAGCCAATTAGGAAATTACATTATCTGTGTACTATTATATTTTCACAACATTGAACAATTAAAAAGGTTAAAATTTCCATTGAAATATTTCATTTAGGTTATACCTAATTATAAAAATTGAATAGTTTATTATATGTGATTATAGGTACGTATTAGAATTTATTGTTTACCTCATTTTTAATATTAAGTTACAAATGAGAACTTCAAACTATTATTAAATGAAAATGCATTGTCTTCTAATTTATATTATGACTTTCTCTCTATACAGTTCTAATACCATTAAGAAAAAATATCAGTTTCTCCAATGGGGATCTACATTAATTGTATATTATTGTAACGGAAATGGATTTTGCTCGTTTATTTTAAGTATGAAAATAATAATATTTATATTTTTAGGGGCTCCATACATGTACTTGTTCAGTGAGGCCAATATTATGCATATTTTTGAAGAATAGACAAATAAATAAATAGTATAACTGTATAAGAAAATAAAAAGAATAACAAATTCATTTTTTTAAACACAGTTGAAAATATTCGCTAAAATCGTAATGTCAAAAGTCAAAACTATCATATTATTCGTAGTAAATACAATTGAATTAATATGATTAAGTTAAGAGTTATGGGTTAGGTACCTACTTAAATAATGTTTCATTATTTAAAAATATCTCATTTCAATACATATTATACTGCATCGTTTATAATAAATTCGAACTTTTGCCTATTGCCTAATATGATTTTTACATTTAATGGTTTTTAACCAGTGTTCAGTAAAATTACGCGAAAACATTGATGTAAATATTTTATCACATCATTATTATATAAACCGGATTAAAGATTTTTAAATACTTTTTAAAATTTAATAAACTCTTGACTTGATAAAACGTATAAATACTTGTGATTTAAAAACAAAGTAATAATAGATATATATTATATTATATATAATATAATTACATACCACAAAATACTATTAATTAAAACAAATATTTTAAGTATTTGCTTTTAAAAGATATGAAAAATTGAATGGAACAGTTAAAATTTAAATTATTATAGTTTAATTATGAATTAATATTCTTATATATTATAATTTTCGAAATTATTTATTATTGTTTTGACGTAAAAACTGACAAAAATGAATATAAAATATGTTTTTTTCATTAAAACATGGTATAGACATAAGTGTATTAGAATATTATGTGTCAACTTTAAAAAATTGGTTTAAGTTTTACATGATATTTATTAAGCTGTAATAATGTAGAATAATTAATATACTACTAATATTTAAAACCAATTGTTAAAAAAAATTGTTTATTACACAATTGCTTAATTTAAACAAAATTGAATAACAATTTTAGAGGTCAATTTATTATTATTTAAAATTATCAAACACTTAAGTTTAATTTACACAATTTATATTTTTATAGTGTATAGAAAACTATAGATTAAATTATTTGATAAAATAATTTAATGAAGTAGCTTAGCTCAAAGATAATCTAATAAGTTGAAAGAAATGTTATTAAAATTGACTTAAAAATATAAAAATCTAATAATTTATTAATTTTCCATCAAATGAACACTATCACAATTGATTACGAAGACACGTATGTTTTAATATTAATTGAAATGCATTTTCTTGAGTGATTCCCTGAAAATTATTATGTTAGACACTCATTTATTTTTAGAAATATAACACGTTTTTTCAACGTTTATTTATTTGAACATGAAATAAAAAAATGTAGACATAGCATTATTAGTATGTATAATAATTTGTTCATGAAATTTAGTGTTTCTTAGTTAACTAGACCACTGACCAGGCTAAACATTGATGCAACCACGTTGAACTGACTATTATTATAATAAATTATACGGACAGTATAAGGTATAACACGGTACCCGAGTAGCTCACAGATTTTTAAATTTTAATTGGAGAATGGCAATAATATATTATTATTTTTCGTGTATCGGATTGCATGATTTATTTTCACTATCGTTTTACAACTGCTAGGATCTGTCGGTGAAGTAAAAGAGCATAATATATATATATTATATTATATATGGCTGCTCGGGTATAAAAAACTGTAAATGAAAAATCTACTGCCGTTGAATATAATAAAATATAATGATTTGGATAATATATTATTTTCTAACCGATTCTCCAGTATCAAAAAACTTAGTGGGGAGTTTTGAATACTTGAGGGATTATTATATGCCATATATTCACACAAATTCAGGTAATATTATAATAAAAATATAATAATATACATGTATTTTATTTGATAAAATTATTGAAATAATATTCTCCAAGTCTGCTAGGGGGTTATCGGATTTAATCCCTCTGATCTTCACCACGTCCAAAGTGTACATATCTTAGAATATGGATTTATTGAATATTGTCTAATTAATATCGCTCGTCATCGAGTGCCAGAGGCTCAAAATGAGAAATTCGGTTTCAGTGAGTGGAAAAAAAAAATAAATGAGTAAAAAGCTAAAGAGAGTTAAAGAACGAAGAGAAAAAAAAATAAGAAAGAAATACCTCGGTGTGGTCGGGATTGGAATTCAGTGCTTATATTAAAGAGAGGAGGGAAAACCGACAGCGGTGGCATCGAGTTCATTTTCCTCCGTTAAAAGAAAATGTTTGATGTGCCGGTTCTTTAGAAATCTCGAGTTGATAAGATATTACACTTTACGCACACACGCGTGTATGTGTGCTGTGCTGTTCTGTGTGTGTGTTTGTGTTATATAATAACGAGGAATGCTAAAAATCAAGGTTTTGAAAGAAGAAAAAATTCCCTCGCTGTTTTCGTATCGCTATATTCGTTATAGCTATATTCCTGTATATTGCTTATTGTTTGAAGCTCAGTTGTGTGGAAATCAACATATTATAATAACGATTAAATGTCTGTGTCATTAAGTGAGCATACTACAGTATATATAATACAGTGTTTTTTAAGTACATATTCTTAATTTCCGTATGCCCATACCTATACAGTGTGATGATTTTAAAGGTAAAACACTCATTATGTCGAAAATTATAAAGGGTTTTGGAATTATATTTTTTAGACAATTTTAAACTACTACAAAATAAAAAAAATTGAAAAAAATAAATATTAAATCGTAAAAAATAAAACTTTCTCAAACATTTTGTTTTGTAATTAAATACTTCACTATACAATTGTACTAATACTTTTTGAGAAAATATGTGTTTACCTTTAAAATCATCCCACTGTATAGTTAAACGGTTATTGTGGCCTGAACTATATATATTGTGTTCCTATCCCATAACATGATGAGGAAGGGGAGTATTTAGGATTTGGTCAAGGGAGATATTAAATAATTTGTAAGGACATAAGATTATGTTTTCATTATAGTGTATTAAAATTGAGTAAACAAAAGTCAATTTTTATTTTGTATAGTTTGTGTAATTTATAATAAATTAAAATTGTTAATTTCTTTTTTTGTCCAAGTTCATACATTTTTATTGTTTATATTAATATATTTTGTAATGAGCTGTGAATGGAAAACATTTGGAGTCATTCAATCTACATTCAATGGTATTGAAATGAAAATTTACTTTTTGTTTATGGTGTTTAAATGGTTCATATAACCATACTTCGTAGTTCATATTAAGTTCGTTGGTGTCCAGGGGGGTTACCAAGTAATGCAACTCCATTATATATATGCATGTACAATGAAACCTCCTTTTAAGAAAATAAAACTCCTCAAATAAGTGATAAGACAGAAATTATCTCGCTAGCCTATATCCCGTATATTTTACTGTCCCTATAACGGAAAAATCAATTGGTCCCGAGCGATTTCATTATAAATAGATTTTAAACCAGGCATAAGAACCAGCCTTCAAAAGCCAGTTATCTGCTGAGTCCTGTAGGGACTTAATATTTTACGTGATTTAATTAAAACATTTGTTGCGTGTAAAAAGGGTGGGTGGTTTTGTTAACTGCATGTGATCTCAAAGTTCTTCAAATTCCTGTCAAACTCCATTGATGTGGTTTATTATATTTTGTAACAACTAGTGGTCTGGTATTATAAATTATATAGGTATATCTGATGAGAATTCAAAATAAGAATTCAAAAGATTGTTTAAATATCGGCAACGATTTCCACCTACTTACAAAAATGTAATATTGTGTAAGAATATATTATAATATACTTTTTTCAATTATTAGGTATCGTTCCATTCATATTTGAAAACGTTGAACCCTTGAAATTAATTGAATAAAATATTTAATTATGTCTAATCAAAAACTGTAACTGGCCTATTATTGATTAAATTCAATATTATAAGTATCAATAACGATGTTATTGTAATTAGTTTGTAAAACAAACAAGAATCACAATCAATTTTCAGAAACTGAATCTTATATTAAGTATCAATTGAATAAAGTACCCCCAGACTCTTTTGAAGAAACCGTTTTTATGTAAATACATATTTTCTTTATCGTTACAAGTACGTCACGTTTGACTTTATTTTGTTGGAAGATTCAATCGATTCGGATCGCATATTATATTTAATTAATTTTTTATATACTATTTTTTTTAAGTTATCATGTCAATCAAGAATTTTTTTGAGTTATCGTTATTGAATAAAAACAAACTCACATGCATGATTGAAGCTGATAAAATCGATTTATTGGAAAACATGAAGAAATTTGAAGAAATGTTGAAGGTACCACACACTCACTTACTCACACTTCATTTAATATAATATTATTATGTATAGGTAATTCGATTTATTATAATACCTGTAGAAGGTTAGTCGGTGTGATGATTTCACCGCAGCGATTGTAATAATCTATGGCGAGTATTATATATTTATAATTGTGTTTTGTCTCGTGTTTTTTTAGGATACATCGCAGATCGACAATTTTCTGTTGGAAAAACAAATCAATACATGTTTCGAATTGCAGTGCAAAATCGAAGATTATTCGGAAAAACTCGAGGAATTAGAGGACGATTACTCGGTATTGTTTTGTCATTATTTTATTAGTCGTAGTGTTGAATACGATTGTTAAGTTAGAAATACGAAACGTTTAATATTTTGTTTCAAACAATCGGACGTCCGTACACATAATAGGGACTTACACCTTAATGTTTATTTTTCGTTATATATAAAGGATTCGCCAAACACTCTGATTGATTTTATTTCAAACATTCCTAACGTAGTGAACGATTTGGGACCCGAATCATTGGTTGTGGTTACGTCTGAGAAAGTCGGCATGAAATACGTACAATTATTGCAGTAAGTACTTATATGTCAATACGTAGATATTTTGTACCACACCTTTAAAGTTTTAAAATTTATTTTAAAATCTTTTAGATCTGACCAATCAGAGGTTTGGATTAAGTATTTATTTTTTTGTTAAATTAATATTATATAATTTCTGTAGATAGATAAATGTAGACAAATCTGAACCAAGAATTATTTTGAAAACAATTAGGTAAGTAGGTACCTCAGTAATCTGTGGGAATTATCGAAGAAAAAACAGTGTAAATTATACTCAATATTATACTCAGTTTATGATTTATACACATTATAATATTATGTTCGAGATAATGTTAAATGTACCGTAAACAAATCCTAATCTGTTTTTTGATTTTTATATTCGTTTACCAAATTGTTATTAAAAAAAAACTACTGGGTAATAAATGAATATACGTACATATTTTGAGTACTACCACTATTAATATCTTCATAGGTGCCTAAATATAAGACGTTATACCTAACTGACGAGCTTCTTACTGCCTGAGAACAACCTTAAATCATTGTGAAACTAAATGGCTCTGCATCTAAAATATTTAAATCAGACTGGGAATATCAAAGCGATAGTATAAATGTATTATTATTGCCTAATGGTTTTAATCACTTGGAATTTTCCACTCCTTCTCACCATATCATAGTAAGGAAATAGGCTTAAGAGCTTATCACACAGTGTACGATATATCTACCTATCTAAACTATAAAAAATTCTTCAATAGTTCAACTCTTATATAGATAGGTTTGTAGTGATTTTTTTTTATATAAATTCAGTATCTATAAATCGTTTATATTGAATCATTCAAAGCACTTGCTGAAACAGGTAATTTTAAACGATACACCTAATGTTACATTAAAAGCGTAGCAACGCGTGGTATGACCAATATTATAGTGGCTAATGTTACATTTCACGCAGCATTATATTATATAGGTAGTGTTATTATGCTTTTCAATATTAAATTTATAGGTAACATACTTTTCCAGTCAAGCATTTAGATAGATACAGTAAAATATAATCATTAAAATAAATACTGCACTATTCCACGATTGATGTCATTCAGTGTTTACTATGCAATAATGTACCGGACAATTATATTATTAAATCTGCTGCACAAATGTTGTTATTCAATGTTTGTGATATTTAAATTACTTAGATCATACATGACTTTGGAGTACTTAAAAAATACATTTATTTTATTCAAAGTTTCATTTCGTTTTTACGATTTTTCATTCTAACTTTTTTGTCTGTACCACCCAGCAAATTAGAATTGTTCTTCTCCGCTCAGCCAAATATAAACATAAGGCTTAAAAACACTGTTCATTTAACATTCGTCTGCAAAAACTTGACTTGTTTTTAAAATAATAACTGCTCCGGGAAACCATATAGTGTACCCACAAACATAATGCTCACTGCACTCTGGATTTCCACTTTCAGTGATTCAGTCATGAAGAACGTTATCATCACTACTATCAGGGCGCTGACGGCGGGCGAAGTGGATGTGACTCTGGGAAACGTGAAGACCGCTCTTCTGGATGGGTCCGAAGCAGAATACCGGAAGTTCGTAGGCAGCGAAGCCGTCCGGTTGGTCATAGCAGACCACGTGCCGGCTGACCGGCTGTTTCGCGTGTGGGGCGACGTTCACCGTGACCAGTGTTTCGCGACGATTAAAATGAATCCTATTGATGGCGATGGTAATGACGCTGAAAACAAGAACATATTATAATATCGTATAATAGCGCACAATGAAACCATATTGTGTCGTCGGTCAAGTGTGGTTGTTGCTGTTTCTCTACTTGACTTTGTCTATGCCTATAATGTAATAATATTTAATAATATATTATAGGTATACTTAAAGTTACTATAAATTGAAAATCATTTTTCCGATTCAACCTTTGTGTGGACTATTATGGATCCAAATGATGATCACATGCTATTATGTCCACACCGATAAATGTATCTCTGAGATCTAATCTATCTCTGTACCAAATTGCATCGCAATCAGATGAACGGTTTAGCATAAAGGACCATGTTTATTTTTTGTCTTTTAAATATTATATATAGAAGATAGATAATATATAGATATAATATTCACAACTGAGCATAGAATATTGCATCTGTGATAAAGTCTTAAGATAAAATTTTAATAAGTATTAACTAATAACTCAGCCACCCTGCAGGTATGAAACATAATGAAACGTAAAAAACAACTTGATAATGACTACTATTATTATTCCATATTATTGTTATGAAGCAATGGCCAATTATTGCATTTTATTCCGAAAAGCTGAGCTTTTTCAAAAGTGATACAAAAGTAACACTTATCTATAATTTAATAATATATTTTCTTTCCCGTGATTTTGCGGTGTTTTTCAAAACCTCAGGGATAGAGTTTTATATAAAGAAGCTTAATCAGTATTAAATATTCAACTGTTTTTTAGGAACATTTAAAAAATGTACACCTATTAATAGTTTCTAAGAAAAAAAAAATCAAAGATAATTTAAGAAATCATGGTAAATTCAATTTCATTGTTCAATTAAAAATTTAAAAGTGTTTTCAAAACTTATAATTTACAGTTAGAAAATCGTAGAATTCAAGTTTTTCTACTTTGTCTAGTTATAATAATTATTGAAGTTCAATTTCACTAAAAAATATCAATTAATATTATTATATACTTAAGTGTTATTATTGTATCAGCTTAATCACTTATAAACGTATATCAATTCACGGCGTGGCTTATTTATATTTATTCACAAGTACGAGTAATTTGTCGTATGTTGAGTAAGTTTATATTAATGTTAATTTAAAACAAGATATTATAATAGTCTTCACATTCATTAACAAACACAGTTACAAGAACTCGTTTTCGAGTCGTTAAAACATAATACAATCATTCATTTATTTCAGTCAAAAATAATGAGCACATTTTCCCTGTTAAGTTATAACGTTAGCATTTTCATTATTATTATATTAACCATAATATACAATCATATACATATATATTATAATATACTCGAGTGCTACATCACATTGGCTCGATAAATTTTCAACATTATCAATAAAAACATATCGCTATATTACTCAGGGTTTATTTGATGTAGGTATAATGTAAATAGGTAGGTACGTGATGTAATTGAAGATAATAGTTTTATACAGACGTATATGATTTTATGAGAAACCTGCATATAGAAAATCCTGTGGCTTTTAAATCTTGTTTTGTAACCTATACACTGCTATTTTTATCCCAAGTGCAGCGTCCCTGGTATATCCCTCCCCCCCTCTATCACGACAGCGTATATATACTCTATAGTCTGTACCTACTATACTCACTCAGATGTATGATACGTATACAATACTCACATACATTCGGATCGAGTACGTCATGTACGCGTACGTGTGTGTTTATTATATACTGGCCCATTGCGATTGTTCACTCAACAATTGCTCCGGTGAATAATCGAAACATGCCCTTCGTCCTAAGGGTCGGCCGCATCTGATATTATCATTATTATTATTATTATTATTATTATTATTATTATAATATTCACAAACAACACACACACGTGATTTTTTTGCATCAGTTGACTTTCCTATCCTCGGGCTACTCACCGTCGCCGTCTCCGCACCTTCTCAGTGCTTTAAGTGTAATACGAAAAAAAATGTACGTTACGGGACCGTCTAGTTTTAATGGCAAAAACGACCTGACGTCAGTTTGCGGGTTTTGGCAAAGTATGCAGTTTTTCAAACCGCCCTGTATCTCTCGCGAGACAACGAGGATCGACCCTATAACAATATAATATATTAGAGACTCTTTTATAGGAGCACATATCCCACCAGGGTAAAAAATTTAAGTTCAAACGCCATTAATCTTAGTATAATACCGCGACCGTCATAGGTAAGGGTGTATTGTCTCGGCTTGGCCACGCGATTATTTATTATCTGAAAATATATTATATACCCTACCTACACGCTTGATAATAATAACAAATAACAATAATAATCAGTGCATGCATTGGAAAAAAAAATTAGATGGGGTAGGTAAGATTTAAATGTCTTATTGATTAGAATGCAATTTTTAGATGGGGTAGGTAATTTAACACATTTTTAAAAAGAAAAGGTACTCCTTTTGTGTCCCCCCATAATTCAAGTACTGAATTAATTATAGTATAATATAACACGTATACGTTATTTTTAAAAATATGCTTATCACGCAATAGTCCACTATTTAAACTTATTTTCTTTAAAATGTTCATGGTATAACAAAATACGTATTAGTGTGTTATTTTTATTTCTTCATAGTTAGTGAATATATTATTAAATAAATTACATTATAAGAATGGTTTTGACACTATTTAACTCATCGGTCAAATACGATGCTAATATATTGTCGATTATTAGTTTTAGTTAGTACATAATATTATATTATTTTATATTTAGGGTCTAGAGTAAAATCTGTCTCCGAATATATTCAATAATAATAATAATGTGTAATACCTACAGAGTTACCAATCGTCGATAACCTCTTTTTTTTAGATTCTGAGCTGAGCGAGAAAGCTAGTGGGGTTTTTACAATGGTGTTTATTTTATTTTTATTCATTTAAATTTTTTTTTATCCTTTATACAAAATGTTTACCAGAAGGAGTGCTTCGGTTTCAACATATAGTATCTTACCTTTTAGAAAATTGGATCAAGATGGTACTTTAAAGATGTAATTTTTTGATATTCTCAATAATCTTGATCCAATTGTCTAAATTATAAGATACTATATGTTGAAATCGAAGCACTGCTTCTGGTAGAAATTTTGTATACAGGATAAAAAAAAATAACCACCATTGTAAAACCAATAGATTCCTCTCTCTGCTCAGAATCTAATATCCAGACTGACAAACCATCTCCTCTCAGAATCGTTTTTTGTATACAATGATATTATATCATTGAATTCAAATTTAGTACATCCATTATACAGTGACCCACTTGTAACCTACTGTACAGCAGAGCAAATTTCACTTGCCGGCTTTTTTTGATTGAAGTATTATATAATTTTTTCCATATAGTTTTATAAATATTATGCAAATAAGATTATGTAATTTAATTTTTAAAGCATACATTTGCAATGATGGTTTTAATTGTACGTCATTAGTTGATGAAGAATTTACATCAGTGAGATTAAATCCGAGGAAAAAGAAACGCCTAACCTTTAATTTAATTCAGCTTGATGAAAGAGCAGTACAATTAATAAGTAAATGAGAGAAGTCACCATCTTCTGCTTTACAGTTTGGTAGAATGCATGAAAGTCTTTGGTTTAACCCTAAATTGACAGAGTGTTTGGTTCGTCACTAGTGTATTATACAGCGAACGAGATTTGCTGAAAAACACAAACTTTGGAACCCGTGGTTGTTACCTAACCATTATTAGAATACCAACTGTTTTAAAATGAATGTTACACAACCGAAAGTGTAATGACAATAGAACGTAATTAATTGTTTTCTGTTTTGTAAAAAGAAACGTTATAACATTTTATTGTGCGCTTTGGATAAATGTTATGAAAAGTTACTCACAATATACATGGTTATTATATAATATTATTTAAAATATTCTTTACGAAGTTCTTACTGTGAAGTATTACACTACCTATGTCAAGTTATAACAATATATACTATAATTATACGTTAAAATGTATACTAATGTAAATAATAAATAAATAGTAGCCATAGATTTCTATTTGATTTGAGTAAAATTTAAATATCATTATTTAGAGAACAATGAAAGTATTTACATAATTAAAAATAAAATAAAATTGAACTCTTAAATCAAAATAACAATATTATACATTAATGTTAAGAAATTATTAAAGAGTTATAAAAGATAATTTTTATAGATACGTAATTGAACTATTAAAGAATTACACATAATAATTAGACTAAATTCTTTAATAGTTCACCAAAATTGGGATTTTTGACAAACACTATTAATAAATAATTTGTATACCAGCAAACATCGATGAATTTATTAATTATTATAATTTTAAGGAATATCCCCTAATGTTCACTACCTATATTTATTGGTGAATGGCAACCATCACTGGACCATTGAGATGCGGTCGACTCACATATTATTATGTATGAAAACAATACCTGACAAAAAGAAAAATGTGCACTTACATTGAATGTTTACTAACCGTAAGATGTTTAATGAATGTATAAGTGGTATACAGAAATATAACACTTGACTTATTTTATTCATTAATAAATAACAGGACGTCTATCTTATTGTATTCGTCTAACGAACGTACAAAATTTGAGTTCAGCAGAACTAATTTAGAGTTGTCTGCAGCTTCGATATAAGAGTGGATTACCCTGTTATTTAACTTTAAGGTAGGATCACTATCTGTGGTTATTTGTTAGTTTTTTTACAACATTTTAATTTTTAGGCAATATATAGGTAGTAGGTAATTACTATATAAGTATCTAAAATATTAAAATTAAAAAAATGTTCGAAATTCGCTTAACAATTATAATATCTTAAAAAACAAAAAACAAATATTTTCCTTAAATATGTTATACTTATTTATTAATTACTTTTAAGGTTATGAAAATATTTTGAAAGTCTTGTAAGTTTAAAATAACTGAATTACGAGTGGGTTTAGGAATATATTACATAATATAATATTCCAAAGCTCATAACTAGACCGGAAAATAATTCTATATGATATTATAATAATAATA